ATAACAAAATTTCAGCCGCCTAGCTTTTGTGGTTCCCGAGTTGAAAGTGCAGGACAAAATGTGGGAGACACACACACACACACACACACACACACAAACACACACACAGACAACCCTGTGACAATATGTGTTTTGTAACGCTATTACACAGCACAAAACGCATAAAAAACTGCCGAAAGCGCAGAAACTCGTCCATCCTGGTGTGTATGCTGCCGAATTTACCGCTCTTGTGGAAGTTTCATGCATCAGTACTGCCAAAACTATCAGCAAATAATTGCACCGTTAGACTCACTCTTAACTGAACTGCTCCGCTACCTCCCCTCACATTTCACACGCAAAAAAAATTACTGCCTTACGCTGTAGCTGTCTGACGAAAACAGATCCTGGGCTCCCAATTCTCGTATTTGCCTCAAGCTTGACTCATCAAAACAGCATCAAACAATCAGCAGCCAGCCTGCCCATTAGGTGCACGTTCCACGTCTTTTCCATCGTTTTTATGCGTTTTTTGCAGCTATGCAACGCAGAAAATGAATATTATCGAGGGGCTGCCTTTGTGTCCGCCTGCACCGATTTTTCATCTCGAGACCCACGAAAGCTACAGGGCTGAAACTTGAGGAACTTAATCTACATGCGTGTATGGGCCTCCATCCCCAAAATAGGCGCTCTTACCCGTGTAGTGCCCACGTACAGTCCCGTCAAAGTTTTTTACGGGCAAGCTACCAACTCGGAAACCAGAGAAGCTGGAAAGCTGAAATTTTGAGGGAATATCCCCCGCCCAGGTACTTATTAGTGAGCTCAAACCCAGCCCCCAGTAGGCGTGATACCCACGTACGGGTCCGCGAAATCCCTTCGGGTAAGTTGTTAACTCGGAAGCCTGAAGAGCTAGAAGACTGGAATTTTGAAGAGATGTTTTCTGACAGTCCTGGCGACCAGTCTGAAATTCTCTTAACTAGAAACATCTGCCCAGAAGACCGTGCCGTTAGCGACAAAAATCTGCGGGGAGCTGTACAAAAAACGCATCATCGCACGGAAAGTCCGTGCGTTGAATTGTCTTGACTCGCCAATCAGTCCCACGCAGCTATATGAGGGACGACAATAAACCTCCCCACGCACTACTCCGAAGTTTCTTCCGGCAACTCTACCTTCGTAAACAGGACAACAGGACACTTGTGATTTCACTGATGAATAACGAAAAAATCACGTAAAACCTGAACGAACGTTTCAAATATCAAAAGGTTTCTGTACAGTTCAAAGTATGGTCTGATGAATCAGGTTCTGCTATGAGCGAAGACGTCATAAAAATTTCCAACTTTACTCAACTTGCAAAAACATTTAACAAACAAACAAAATTAACAAACGAAATGAGGCCAGGAAAAAATGAATTTTGAATAGCAGTCCAAGAAATCCAAATTTTTAGAATACCGCACAACTTTTCTGCAGTAGTTAGCAGTATTTTGCTACGAATTGTAGAGTATCGAGAAAACAATCAATCCTCAGCCCAAACAAAAGAAACTGTTGAACAACAACTCCACTTTTAAGTGATATCACTCTACCAAGTATTAAATCACTCTTCCTCAACTTCCGCCTGAAACATTTTCACGATTTAAACAATGAATTCCAAAAAGACATTACCAGAAGCTGGTACGTGTCCGTGCGACATAATCAGCATGCCATAAATCTCAAAGGTTGCATATAACAAAGACTGTCAGACGGATCCCACTAAGCAATTTCAGCCATTTAAAAAGAGCCAAACAGTTTTTTCATTAATTTTAATTTCCTCATAAAACATACCTTCTTTTTTTTATGCTTCTTTTTCGAAGATTTCTGCTGCTGTTGCTGCTGCTGCTGATCGTCTTGTTCCTCGTCATGTTTTTTCTTATGCTTTTTCTTCGATGAGCCTTGATCATTCTGCTCTCCCTCCAACTCTCTTTTCTTGTGTTTTGGCTTTGAAGGCCCCGGCTGCTCGTCTAGCCCGTCATCTAATTCTTCTTTAATTTCTACCTTCTTTTTCATCTCTCCGCCTTCGTCATCAACTTCACTGAACTTCCGCTTTTTGGCACTTCTTTGAGTTGAATCGACGCCTGGTTCATATCTTTTCACAGTGCTGAAAAGCAGCAACCAAACAAATTCATGCAAGTAATTACCAATATACGGTCATGATTTCCTTGCCATTACCATATCGAAGCTACTTATCAAACCAAATTCTTATGACTTCTTTTACAAAACACCGCCTGCCCCAGGACAAACTTCATTTTGAAAAAATTCTGTGCACCGATACCGAAACAAACTTTCCACTTGCTGAATATAAAAAAAAGAAAAAAAAAATAATCAAAAAGCATTCCTGAGTTATCTGATAACTTTTCTGTGTAAAAACATAAAAGAGAACTCAAATATATACAGCGATGCTTCAAGGGCAAGCCAACAAATACAAAAAGAAAAAGACTGGCTGCAAGAAACACTAGTATTTTTTCTCAGGGAAGTTTATCAGTTTTGCTTTTTACACGAATTTAAGAAAACTCCAGCTCAATTTGTTCCGTAGAAGGAACGCGACACAACGAATACTTCTTCACAGACTAAAACGAATAAAGAAAAGACCACTAAAAAAATGACGTAGCCCTAGTTACCCGATCACAGAAAGGTTCAGAGACACCAAGGGTGTGCCGACGATGAAACCGTAGCTGCTCAAAGTTAAAACCAAAAAATTCAATTGAAATGAACGACTAAGCTGTCACCGACTTCCTTCTCCACAACGCTTTCAGCTTCCTCACCAAACAATTTTCCGTTTGTTTAACTAATAAATCCAAGGACAGCTTGACTCACTGATTACCGAAACGAAAGCCTTTACCACAGGCGAACCTGAACCAAAAATCTCAACAACAGCTACTACTGCATCAAGCGTTGCTGAAAATGTCTGAAGTCGCAGTCTTTTATTCAAAAGAATTTAATCTATCTCAGCAATTCTGCGTTCGTTTTTGTAACATCGCATTTTGAAACATGAGCCAGAAATTACCTGCTAAACGTATATTTTTCGTGCTTTGTTGCCCTGCCTGTTATTCTTGTTGGTCCCTGTTCCTGTGATTTTCTAATAAATTCTTCAATATATGCGCGGTTTCTTACACCACACTCAGTCGCAGTCCCCTGCGAATCATCAGCAAGTGCATCAATTCGAGTTGCCAGTGACACTTTTGCGGCCAACTTTCGTGCTACCTAAACTCCGAAAACCATTTATTGCTTCAGTACTCGAATAATCGGAAAGAAAAGTGCAAAAATTCAGGGAGAAAACCTCTTCAATAATGCTTACCTTTCCTTTAATTTTGGAGTGCGCTTGACCGATAAGGCTCGCATGATAAATGAGACCGTATTTCGGCGTGCTTCGCTTAGTTTTTAGTGCTCGGAAGAGAGCTTTTTCAGCTCCAAGAATCTGCACCGTAGAAGCAGGATATTTTGCAAGGTTCACCAGAGAGCCAGCATGGGAAATCAACCTAGCTCCGACCAATTCGCCGAGCAATATTGTAAGATTTGGTGCAAGTATCATCATTCGATTTTTTAGATAATCGGCTAATTCTGTTCGATATTCGGCCAAATCAATTATCTGAAATAGCCCAGAAAACGGTGATTAGAACAAACGGCTGCTTCCCACTATAACTGCAACTCACTTTCTTGCTTGAGCAATATAAATCTAGAATTTTCATATGCTTACAGCGTGAAATCAGAGCTTACTTGTGTGCATAAGCCACTGATGTGGTACATATCTGAATCGGATATATCTGTGCCCATGCTTATTTCTGCTTCTGATTTGACGCGATCTTCCAATTCCTTCGATAATATTCCCGAAAAATCGCAGTTCTGAGCATTTGTGCGCATTCCCATAAGTCTAACAGCCTGAAAAATTGCATCGCACTTAAAAACAAGACATCATTCTCGATCTTCATAACAATGAAGCTAGAAAGAGGCTTATTTTTCACGGTAATTTAATTAATCAGTAGTCAGTGGGTGTCAGCCTTCACCGCACTAACGATTCGTATGAGGAAACTTGCCCCTATCAAACTCACAGACACAAATGGGCATACACACAACACGTAACTATTCATGCACGTACACAAATGCATGCAAAAAATACATACACACAAACGAACAAACACAAACGCGTACAACAGAAAACTAGCCGGATATTGCTGAATTAATTTTGTCTATCTTAGAATATAAATATTCAACAGTAAATACGAACCCACGACTATCTATGTGCCGAAACGTTGGTGATTTACTTTTTATACACATAGAAAACTTCACAAACGTTACAACTTCTATTTATGGTAATGAATTGGAATTAGAAATAACTGGTAGCGGCAACGTTGTGAATTTTCTGGATATAACATTTCAATTTACAAATGAGAGAGCAATAAGCACAACTTTGTATAATAAAGTCAATAATTCCAACAGGTACACATATCCAAACAGTACTATTCATACTAATATACATTACAATATTTTATATAGCCAATTATTACGATTTCTACGAATTGAGTCTAACACGGGCGGATTTATAAAAAAGGCAAAAATTTTATTGGAAACATTAAGAAATCGTGGTTTTGAGAATTTTAAGCTTTATAAAACATGCCGATCTTTCTTCTCCCATTATAGATTCGACTTCTTTAAATATTTCTATCCAAATAAAAACAATTTTAACAACTTACTTTTACAATTAGACCTCAGTGTCATGTAAACTATTCTATATTTTTCTCAGGATCATCACCGAGCTCCCAGGATTGCTCTTCAATGCCTCTCAACTTTATTCAGCCTGCTGTTATGGCCCAAATGCTTTACCTAATATTTCTTAACGCCCAAGCCATGCTAATTGCTGATTGTGTGTAATGCCCACTCCCCTCTTTTTCAGCTTTATAATTAAATCACACTTCAAACAAAATAATGAACTTCCTATAATATTTTGACTTGCAAGCTACACTAGACCACGCCAAGATTAAGACCTCACTAGACGTGTGCTACATTTACTGAAATAATATCTGTTAATAAAAAGTTACGCACATTGCTCCATTACTTTCTACGCATTTTCACAACAGATACGTAAAAGGATAAATAAAAGCCGCCTGAGAATGTGTGCTGAGAATATGTAACATACCTTTGCATATGACTGATGATCCTGAATTATTCTGCTCAATTCCGGAAAATGCCAGCCATACCACTCTCGACATCTGCAACATTTTACGATGTGAATTTTTAACATCTCTGAAATTCTTGAATTTGCACATCGTTCGCTTAATACTTACTAAAACACAATGGTGTAGTGCGTTTTTTTAAAACGACAAAATTTTCTTTCAACAAAGCAAAATTCGTTTCGATGATATACTAATATTGAGCATTTTAATATGGCCTTAACATATTTAAAAGTGAAAATGCACCCTACTGCAGGATAACTGCTGCTGGCAAAACCCTAGCCGATAAGGCATTTTTAAGTGTGAAAAAAGTTGACAGTTCTTGCTTAATATAAAAATGCACCTCATTATATAGTTGTTTATTTCCCTGTCAAGATCATCCAGAAGCGATACTGCTTGCACTACCATTGTATCGATTTTATCCGGATTAAATTTAACCTGAAATGTGTACCCATTTTCCAAACAATATTTAGTGCTTTTTCCCCACTTAAACTGCTGACGTGCTGCATCAAAAAAGGTTCAATTCA